CTCTCCCTCTCTCTCCCTCTCTTTCTCGATGGGGGGCTGGGGCTTTGCACCACCTACCTCGTGACTAACACCGACTCGTGGCCGCATCTTCAGGAACATCATTGTGGCGCTGGCATATCGGTCCTGCGTACCGCAGTACCGCCCCACCGCTACCAGCGGTGCAGCCGGCCCTGCGGCCGGGACCTCGACACCCAGTTCGCCGGTCACTCCCAGTGCTGTCCCTCTGACCCGGCAGTCCATCACACACCATCAGAACATCATCCGCGCCCGGCGAGCTGCCCTGCTGAGCCGCGCGAGCACACTCTTTGCCGCCGGTGCTGGCCAGCTACGCGTCCGCGCCGAGAAGTCGGTGCTCGTTCAGCAGCTCCTGATCAACAGCATCGGTGCCAGTTCGGGCGGCATGCCGGCGGACACCGTCGCCGCGGCCAATGGCCCCACCGCTGGCAGTGGCCTCCTGCACCTTGTCGCTCGCACCAACTTTTTGGGCGTCTATGCCTGGGCCGGACGGAACCCGGTGCACCGGGCCATGCACTGGCTTCAGTCCGGGTCCGGGGCCTGCTGCATTGTCAACCCGGCAAATGACCAAGCCACCGGGTCGGGGGCCGTGCGCTTCGTCGTACCCGATGCCCCGGGGACGAGCCTGCTGGCCACGACCGTGCTCCCGACCACGGCCACGTCCGGCATTCACAGTCAGGCCGAGGACCCTGGCGCCGGGGCCGGATCCGACTCCGGGTCTGTCAACTCGAGCCACACCTCCGACGCCGCTGTGGCGGACAGCTCACCGAGCGTCACGTCAGCCCCTCTGGCTGTCACCTCGGACACCTGGCATTCCAACATCCTGGATGATGACGGTGGGGAGCATGAGCCCTGGCTCGCCGCGGTGTGGTGCCTCGAGCAGGCTGCCACCATCCAGCACCACCTGCAACTTGGAACCCTGCTGCTCTATACCCTGGCCCAAAAGGCCGTCTTCTTGCAGCTGGCCGGCCATACGGCCTTGGCTCTGGCGGTGGCTTGTCGCGTCCTCTCTGCCCAGGTGGACCGTCAGATGCCACTTGCTCGGAATGTCCCGCCCCTTTTGCGGCTGGCTGGCCCAGGTGTGGCATACCATCGCTATGAGCAGGCTCTTGCCGGGGTACTTGCCCCGCGTCCAAGCCCCTCTCGCAGCCCGTATGTCGGGCCTCAGGGGACCGAGTGCCATGCTCTTCTCCCCACCCGGACGGTCCTTGGTCTGGCCCATTTGGCCTTGCAGGCTGGCCGGCGTTTGGTTGTGACCAGCGGCGAGCATGTTGAAGTCGCTCAGGCCACCCTGGGGCTTGGACTTGCGATGTTGGCCACTGCCCCGGGCTCGGTGGCGCCGGCCGACCGGGCGCAAGCCCTGGAGCTGGTCCGCCTTCTCGGGCCGCTGCTGGATGCGGCCGTCCCGGCCGATGGTCCCCCGGCCGAAGCCCTCCCCCTGTGCTGTCCCTTCGGCCGTGCGTTCACCTTCCTCTCATCGCATTGCGACCCTCCCGCCCTTCCCTCTTGCTGGCATTGTTGCTGCTTTCTGACACCTGGCTGCCTTGGATTGGATGTGTGGGCCTTCTCGCCGGCCCAATGCCCCTTCTTCCTGGTATTAGTGGTTGCCGAGCTTTCGAACATTGACGGTACATCCGGGCGGCAGCAGGCGCCGCAGCTCGCCCTCGACCTGACCGCCAGCTTGCCCATGGGCCTGCGGTTTGCGGGAGTTCGCTTGCACTTCACACCAATTTCCAGCCGGGTGAAGATGTTCGGCGGCATCATCCCCCCGCCTGTTGCCTGGCAGACGGTTGATTGCAATCTGGTCTCCGGCGAAGCGGACGCCCTTCTTCCCGCCGTTGATCCTGTCGCCGGTCCGACTCCCCACCGGTTCACTCTCGACGTGCCTAGCTCGTCTTTCCGATCCCACTTCCAAGTATGTGCCCTCTGCACGGGGGGGGGGTCCTTCTTCCTGCCTGCCTGCCCTTTCTGCTCCATGCCCTTTTCCACGTCTCTCGTGTCTCCTCCCTCCCTCTCGGGAGATTTCTCTCCGTTTCCCTTGTCCTCACGCCTCTCCCCTGCAGATCGATCGCATCTCCCTGCTTGGCGTGCAGCTCCTCGACTCTGAGTATTGCACCCTGCGGCGCCCTGTGCTCCTCGAGCTCCCGCTTGTGTCCTCCATTTTGTATGCCGACCCCAGTGCCGGGCTCTTGCCTTTCCTCGCCCCTTCCCCCTCTCGCTCCCCCCCCCCTCTCTCTCTCTCTTGTTCACCTTCTGACTCGCTCTCTCGCCACCAGCCCAAGCAGCTCCCTTCCTCCGCAGGGGGACATTGTCCCCCGCGGTGTGAACATTCAGCCGGTCCTTCTGCCCGCCGAGACTGCCGAGCCCGGCTCCGTGTGTCTCGGTGATGACTTGGCCCCGGAGGGATTTCTCCTGCTGGATGTTTGGTACTCCCTTAGCCCCTTCTTCTCCTCCCCGGGGATTACGGCCGCCACGGATCTCCAACTCCGGGTCGCCCCCTCTTACCGTACGCTTCTCTGGCATCCAATTCTTCGCTCGGTGGCGTCCGTCTCCCTGCTCCTCGCCTAATCATCAGTTTGCGCCTGGGCGGACCCCTCTCTCTTTTCATCGCAGTGGACATCGAAGTGAGTCAGACGCCACCGACCCCGGCGCAGCTGGCACGAGGCTCGGTCCTGCCCTTCCCCTTGGATGCATCTGCTGGCAAAGACACAAATCCCCCCCTGCAGACTTCTTCCACTCAACGGACCGAGGAAATCATCCGCCGGGGTCGCGCGGTTTACCTGCGCTTTATGGCACCCAACCGACCGGCGAGCGCTTCCGCGACCTCGATGGCCGGGTTGCTTCGGCTGCTGGCCTCGCGCAAGTTGACCGTCTCCCTGAGCATTGTTGGGCCCCAGCGGCAGACCCTTCTCACACGGTCAATGGTCGTGCAGGCCCCCTTCCTGGCTCGGGCGTCCTCTGCCTTTAGTCTGGATCTGACCCTGCCCCAGTATCTGCGCACTCCGAGCCTTTGGCTCCATGCAGTGGAAACCGGCACCGGCGATGAGGTATGCCCTGACCCCCTTCCCCCGAGGACCATCCCCCTCCTGCTTGCCTGCTCACCCTCTCCGCCGCTTTTCCCCTCCCCCTCTGCAAAGACCACCTCCCTCTGGAAGCCCTGTGCCGATCAGCCTCAGGGGCCCCTCCTGCCCGGATCTCGCGTCACCCTCCTCACTCCAAGCGCGGCCCTTGTGCATGTGAGCTATTCCCTGTGCGTCGGGCCTCCAATTGCATGCCCCATTTGGGTTGGTTGCCTCTGACACATCTTTGTCCACGTGCGAGAACTCCCCAGCCCCGGTGATGCCCCGGCACCCAGTCCTCGGCGACAAATCCACTTCTCCCTCAAGCATCCGGCCCCACCTCCGCCGTCCATCTCGACTCCCACCTACACGCTCATAGCCGGTGCGATTCCCTCTCGTCCTTTCTCTCCCTCCTCCCCCCCCCCCCCCCCCCCCCTCCCTCTCCCTCTCTCTCTCTCTCTCTCTCCCTCTTTCTCCCTTTCTCTCGCTCTGTCCTTGCGATTCTGGCCATGCCAGGCCCTTCCTCAACGCAAATGTCAGTCTAATCCCCCTGGGTCCTAGATGTCCCGGCATGTGTCCCCTTGCTCAAGCCGACACCCATCCGGGTGATGGTTGTCCCGCCCCTTGGTCCTGAGGTCCAGAACTGCCGCATTCAGCTGGCACCTACCCAGACCCAGCAGCCTGGGACCCCGACATCCGGCGGAGCCAGCGCCAACCGGGCCGAGGGCATTCCCTACCAGGTGGTGGGCCCCCAGTCGGCCCCGGCCGACGGGACTGCCGAGCACATTTGGAACCTTTTGCCATATCGTGTATGTGCCCTCTGGCCCTCTTTCCCCCCCCCCCCCCCCCCCTCCCCCCTGCTTTGCCTTCCTTTTTCGCTCCCGCCTCGGGCGAGTTGCCCTTTTCTGACCCTCCCGATGACATCCGCCCCCATGCCAGACCGGTGTCCTTCACCTGCCGGTGTTCGAACTACACATGGGCGGGTCTACCACCCCGATGGCTGTCAGCCTTTCTGGAACCACCACTGTGATGGAATAAACCTGTGCTTCTCCCGCGGGAAAGGCCCCCTTCCCACTTCCAACAACCCCCCATGGCCGTGCCCTTCTCGGTGCCGCATGGGGTGTGTCTGGCTGATGTCTATGATTTTTAGGGGCAAAGGCCCTACCCTCACATTTCACTTTAGCCGTGGCGAAAGAAGGGGGGGAAGGCCGGGAGGAAGATGAAAAGCACAAGCTCCCCTCCATCTACCCTAGTCCCGAGAAAGTCTTGAATGCCAGCTCGTACACGTAGAATGTGATGGCCGAGGCGGGGACGGCCTTCACCAACGTTGGGGTCAGGCCTCGGAAGAGGCCGCGCATTCCCTACACGAAGGGAAAGGAAGACAGGCGTGAGGAGGGAGACGGGCACCAGGGAAGAGGAAGAGTGTGTGTGTGTGTGTGAGAGAGAGAGAGAGAGAGAGGGACAGACGCAGGGAGGGAGAGAAAGAGAGCGAGGAAGGGGGAAAGGGCCGAAGGGGTGAATCTCAACAAATCGACCAGGCCCCCCCGGGGGGGAGGTGTTCGGCACTCCTTCTAAGCCGGCCTTGGCGCTGGCTCATGCGCACCTCCTGGCGGACAGTCATCCGAGCGCAAGCCCACATCGTGCGCGGCACTTCCTGCACGGCTGAGCCCTCGTACATGATCCGTGCGGCAAAGGCTGCACTCGGGCCTGCTGCGGCCGGGATCGAGGTGGCCATCGTGGATGTCCCGGCCGATGCAGCTGCCGTGACAATCTGCAGGCGCTTGCGGATCAAGTCAAATGGTGCACTCACCAGCTTAGAGGCCACACCGGCCGTGGCGCCGGACACTGCCGCCGGCAAACCAACCCCCTCAGCCAGAGACCAAACGCCGGCCGTGTTCAAAGTGTCACGCCAGCCCCCGGGCCCATGTGGAGATGTGGTCAGGAAGCGGCCAAGTGCATCAAGCACCTGCCGGACCGCCGAGTAGCAGCCGAAGGACACCCCGGCGGCCGGGGCGGTGCCGATCAGGGCCGAGCTCAGCCCCCGGTACAGAGCCCGTGGACCGCCCTCGGTGCGGGCGATGTCCGCGAGTGAGCCAATCAGCGCGGTTGGCTATTCCCAAGGCCGACAGGGGTCAGTAACGGAAGCCAGTAGAGCAGGCCGGCGGGGAGAGCGCGCGAGGGGAGAGGAGAGAAAGGACGAGGGAGATCCGAGATGCGAAGATCGACAGGGAGATCGAGGGACAGACAGAGGCCCAGGCCAGGAAAAGAAGGCCTCTTCCCAGCACGCACGGAATAGCTCGCCAGCGAGTAGCTTTGTACTTGGCCTGCTTGCAGGGCCCACCGGGTCCGAAGCAGATCCAGTGGGTAGGTCAGCGTTCCGGCGGTGGAGGCGGCCAAAAAGCCGGACACTGCCGAGATGACAGGCGACGTTTTGGACAGGGAGGATGAGGAGCTCCTTCCCTGTTGGAGATCCGTCGAGTTTGTGCCTCGTCCAGAGAGCGAGCCGAGCAGGGACGTGGTGAAGGTGTTGATCGGCTCGACCAGGGAGAATTGGAGCCCCGCATACGCCGCATACAGGTACAGGGCCGGGAGGTTACCCTTCCACAGGGCCTACAACACGCTTGGGGGTCAGTGTGGGAGGGCAGAAGCCAGATGAACGCCCAAAGGGGGGGGGGGAGAGAGAGAGAGGGGGGGGGGGGGATGGGGAATCAACGTGTCTGTGGAGCGCACCAGGATACCCTCCTCTCGGGCAATCATCCGAAAACACTGGGCCATGGAGGTGTACTTCGGAGCGGTCCCGGCTTGATGAAGTTGGGTCTTGGTGAGGGGGGGGGGGGGGGGGTCGCGGTCGCCCGGGGCGAGGGCGGATGTCAGGGCTTGGATTGGGGTGAGGCACTTCCCAGGGGCAAGGGGGGTGCGGGGGGGGGGACACCCTTCGGGCGCGTACTTGAAGGCGAATTTTGACCACATCCAGCGGGGCCACGATGAAGCGCGCCACAACGCCGGCGGTGGCGCCGGAAGCCACCGGCACCCAGGGCGCAACATCCCGGTGCACGGCCGCGCTCCCAGACGACATGAGGCAACGGCGGATCCGAAAGAGGGATGTGGAAGTAGAGAGGCGGAGGAGGATACAGAGGGACTTTCAGTGCCCTGTTGCCGAGAGGCGGTGATGGGATGCTGCTGGTGGCGGAAGAAGAGGAGGCAGGGGGGGGGGGGGGGAGATCGCTGCAGGGCTCCTGGACCATGCCGCCCGGTGTGCCGCCCGAAATAAGGAGGCCTCGGCTTGCCGCCTTCGGCGGGCTGAATTCATTGGATGGGCCAGCGGAAGACACACGTGACTCGCGCGTGAGATGATATTTTTGGACAACTCATGGTGTTCGTCTCCCCATGGCTTTTCAGTATGCACCGAGATCGCTGTAGCCCACAACAAGGAGGGGGCGCATCTTCGGCCAGGCTGACCCCTCCTCCCTGCCCGACTGACAGAGTGGCAGGCCAAAGACACATGCCCGGGCAAGGCTGCCAAGCCGCGCTCAGTTTGTCCTCGGGGTCCCGCGACCGTGGCTTCGGTGCTTCGGCCAGATGTGGACGGTCTCCGAGCCGCACCGATCTCTCGGTAGCCGGTGTAGGGTGTCCCTCTCGGGGGCGGAATTTTTATTCATTTGCAAAAGCCACTCTCGGCGACGTGGCCGGAGGGAAGAGGGGCACTTCCCGGCCTGTGCGAAAATAGGTGAGACTCGGTCTTGATTGGATGCTCCCAGGGCGCTGAGAAGGCCTCGCCAAAAGACCACTACGGGTGCATGCGCCCGCTCAGACGCAGATGCTCGGCCACCGAGGGGTCCTCTTCCGAGATCGAGCGCAACCATGTCCCCTGCTCCTTGATGGACCAATAGAGGGCTTGGCGATGGGCATCCTCTGCGCCTGGCGCCGGTCGGACAGTCCACCCGGAGGAGGTCACCGGGAACCGCGGGTCGGCAATGCCGAGGGAAGCCACCTTTTGGAAGTACCTGCCGACATGATGCCATGTGTGTGTGTGTAGGGGGGGGGGGGAGATTCCGGTTAGAGTGGGTTGTGTTCGGCCCTCGCGAGGAGTATAAATGCATTACCCAGCACGGGAATGAAGCTGCTGCTTGGCAAATGCCAGCCCCCCCCCCCCCCCATAACTGGCCCTCTCGGAAGAGCTCCCCCGGAAATGAGCGAGACCGGAGCGCACCTAGGCTCATTCTGCCCGGGCCGCCGGGGAGCGAGTTTGGCCCGGGACTCGGCCGCCTCGGCAGCCCTTCCCAACTCCCAGTGCCGGAGGTCCGGGCGAAGGCGAGCATCGGTCGGGGCCAAGTTGATCCGGGGCACACCCGGGGTCATATCCTCCCCGGGTGCCAGGTGTGACGCATCGAGCGACGCCAGGCTCGAGGCGAACACCGAGAATCCGAATTGCCGATCGCCGAGGCCAACGTCATCATTTACCCAGATCACCCGGTATGGCAGGGGAGGGCCGGCCCCCGTTTCCGGCCTCATTGCCAGGAATCGGTCATGCCTCCCGACCAGAGTGGCCACACGGCGACCAGACTCGGCTATGATTCCAGCCCGCCGGCCGGGGGAAACCGGAGCAGGGGGGATTCCTCGCGTTAGCAACCGACTCGCCCTGAGGGAAAGGACTCATGCATCAGGGCCAGCTCCCCGGCTGAGCCCTTCCCATGGATTGCCTGCTTCCATGCGGGACCCCCCTCGTACCGTGAATTAACTCGCCCGAGACGCGGGCGAAATTCCGCCGCAGGCGGGGATCTCCATTGGGTAGGGGCCCTCCGGCGGCGGCCAGATGCTCCCGGTCCAGCAACCCCCCGGAGTCGGTGCTCAATTCGTGGGCCATGACCACTCGGAGCCCGGTCTCGACGCAGTCCAGCTGTATGGTCCCCACCTGCCGAGTGCATGGTCGGTAGGTCGTCGTTTGTTCCGGACCCAGTGAGGAAGCATTGTTATTACCTTTTCGAAAGCGCGACACGCCGAAGGTGCCGGCCCTCCAGGGGGGGGGGGGGGGGGCGGGGGCGGGCCGGGCTTGCGGCGATGTGGCCCAGTGGCCACATGTGCGGGCGATCTTGCCGCGTGCATGTGTGCATGACCGCTGGCGAGATCGCCCAAAGCCCATGCATCAAGACGTACATGCTCCACCCAGGTGCCCACCTCGGCCAGTAGCCCGCGCACCCGGGTTCCCGGCTTGTTCCAGGTGTAGTTTTCCGTCCCCGGCCCGGCGCCCGGGGATGGGTCTCGCGGGTCGCCGAAGTCCAAACGAAGGCAGCCAGAACCGCTGATGGGAACCTCCAGCTCGCCGAGGGAGCGGATGCTCAATCGGGGCACGGAGAAAGTGGCCTCCTGGATGGTACACCAGCGCCCGGGTCGCCCGGATACATGTGACCGCAACGGCGTGGTGGACTCGGCGAAGATGATGGTTTGCTGGTCGGTCAGCTGCTCGGACAGCCCGCGGAAGCCGACGCCGGACCGGTGACGATTCAGCTCGAGCGTTTCCCCGATCAGCGTGCCCAATGGGGCAGACCGCCGGCCCGGTGCAGTCGGGGGGCCGAACGGCGCGCAGCCGGCCAACGCCGCGACCAAGCACATGCGCCCTAGCTTCGGACAGGCCTCGGCCCACCACTGGGCCTCCATGTCCGAGGAGAAGGTCGGCCGCTTGAAGGGGGCCACTTCCGGGGGGTGCCCCGGGCCCGATGTCCAGTGTCCACCGGCCAGCGCATGCTTGAGGGCCTCCGGGAACCAGCTCAAAGAGAGTAGATCCTCAAGCGAGTCGAATGCGGGGATTCTTTTCGCCCGCGTCAGAAGCAGGGCCGCTCGTCAGCCGGGCGAAAGGCAGCCTCACGGCGCGGGGAAGCAAAAAGTGCCGGCCTCGGTGACCGGCAACATGCAGGTCGCGTACCCCATTGCCTCGCCGGGGCCCAGCAGCTCCAGGGCACAGTCCGCTGTCTCGGCACACCGGATGGCCCGAGCCAATAGCGGTCCCGAGTGAATGAGTTCCTCCGCAAAGCGAACAGTCGGAGTCGAGGGCTCGTGCCAGTCCAGCGGCAGGAGGAAACGGGCCAGGTCTCGAGCAGGCTGCTTGAGCAGCGAATAAATCGATGGGAGCTTTCCACTGGGGCGTCCTTCGTTTTAGACGTGTGGCCAGGATGTGCGAGGCCCTCTCGATCGGGAACGATCTCTTCGCAGCATGCGCGCCCGCCCGCCCGCCCGCCCGACCACGCGCAGCAAAAAAAAAAAACAACATACGCACCTCGAATCGCAGGGCAGCGAGGTACGAACTGTGTCCGCGGTTGCCTCGATATCGTCCAAGAGGAGGGTCTGGGAAGATAGCTTCCCCGTGAGGGTGGACTCCGGCGCCCCCGGGCTACGGGTGTCCCCGCAAGCAGCTGCCCCCTCGCCTGCATCCGGCGAACACACCCGGGACATGGAAAGGGGAGTGTAGAAAAGATCCTCTTCATCGTCCTCATCATTAGCACGGCAGGTGGCCAACCGGCCCTCCAGGCTGTCGGAGGTGGAGCTCTGGGACATCTCCATCTGCTTGTCAGCGGGTGATGGTTCGGGCAGGTCGCCCAGGTTTCCAGCGTCAGGCATCGGGGACACTTCACCCAGGTCGCAGGGGACGGGCATGCCGGATGTGGGAGAGTCGCCACCGAAGAATTGCTCCATGCCGTGTCGCCGATAGAACTCGTCGTCTGAAGGGCCGGCACATTGCAATGCGCCGAGGGCATCCATGGGTTAGTCACCGGCCGAGGAGCTTGCCGCGCGCGCGCGCGCGTGGAAGAATGCCAAGCGCACCGGATGACGTCTGCCCCATGGACGAGCAGATGCACCAAAGCAACACCGGTCAGAATGGATGGACCACGCCCGGCAGGCCCTCGGACGCTCTTCGGCCCCTGGCCAATGCCCACAGCCCAGCCCCAAGTCAGCGCACTGTCAAAATGGACCCGGGCCGGATGGAGGGCGCATACTCGCGAACGAGATTACCGCCAGCCAGGAAGATTTGCCTCGTCACCATCTCCGACCACCAGTCAAAGGGAAAGAGGCCGCCGGTGTTCCCTCGGGCGCGGACTTCGCCCGGAGTCTCCGCGTCCAATGGCGACAACAGGTCGAGCAGGGCTCCCGCCAGGGGATCGTCATCGGCCGCGCCGGACATCGCCAACGAACTCACCTGGCGATGGGTCACTTGCAGACGCGAGGACCGCAGCAACACCGCCCCCGGGCTCAATTCCCGCAGCTCCACCTGGCGGCCCTCCTTCGACAGGCGCAGGCGGCGCTTAGCCGGGGCAATGTCGATGTCCACCTTTTCCAGATGGAAGGCCACCAGCAGCCGCCCCTCCAGCGAGGGGACGATCACCTGGGCACCGGGGCCGGCGCCCACAAAGCGCACCCCGGACCAAGGCGCCTCGCGCACAATCAGCCATGCACCTTCGAGGATCAGTGTGACAATCTGGCAGTGAGGTCAGCGCGCGAGGCGACACCGGGAAAGGGGCATCGGCCCAGGCCGCACCATCCATGGCCGAGGCTTGAAGACTTTCTTGCTCCCGGAGCGCAACTCGGCCAGGCCGAGCACCTGGCCCGTGGCCGCGAGCACGCCTTCTTCAAGGGGCCTCATACTCGAGTTGCTGACAGCGATGGTGCGTCCCGCGTGGGAGGTGAAACTACCGGGATTCGGGGCGAAAAAAAAGAGGAAGGGAAATCAGACGTAGGCGGAGGAGAGGGGAGGAGACACTAGCTCGGGCTCTTTCCTTTCTTTCGAGGGACTGTTTTCAAGCTCGGCCTCCTGTTTCACATCGCGATCAGCTGTTGGCCCGGCACAACGCCCCACCCCCAACGCCAAGAGACGCCCAGCATCCGGCCTCGGGCCAACATCGGCTGCCCCCAAACCGCGAACAAGTCTTGTCACCTGCCCTCCGAAGGTCTCCAAACACCGCTGCCGACCGAGGCATCGCCAAGCCCATGCGTTCGGCCCAAGAAAATACCCGAGACATAGCGGCGTCGAGCAGGCATGTGTGAGAGAGAGAGAGAGAGGCATCCAGGGCGCGAGAACAATCTGCCCCTCGTGACGAGCCGTGCGAGGGGCCGAGGCGTGGCGCCCGGCCCTTCTCGTCGCACTCCGCCCCCCGCGGCGCTCAGGAGGGAGGAGGCTGTTAGCCGCTCCCCCGGGTCGACTCCCATGGGGAATGGAAATTCGAGCACACGGAGGAGACCCAATGGCCTTCCGAGACGCCCAGGCTCCGGCTGGCCCCGGAGGCACTGCCCCCCCCCCCCCCCCCCCCCAAAGGGAACGAGGTGCCACTGGGATCCGAGGAGCGGGGCGTGAAAACAAGATCGCGGGTTGCCGTTGGGATTTGTTCTCCCCCCTCCCCACTCGCCCCGGAAGCTCCCTCGCGCACCCGCGGGATCTGCTCTCCTCCAGATAAGTGGCCCTGGGGGAGGTGTGATGGAGGCAAAAGCAGAAGGGAACCACAACTCACGGACGCGTGACCGTCAGGCAGGGGGCAGAGCCTCGGGGCACGCGCATTGGCGAGGCCCATCTGTATTAACCTCAGAGCTGGAGAACAACGGAACAGGCGGCACGCCTGGGACCCCGCCCAAAGATCGCGGACCCCTCCGGCCGTCCAATTGGGAGCCCCCTCTTGAGCAAGGTAGACTCCCGGACAAGGGGTCCCTTCTGGCGTTTGGTACTCGGGCGTTGTCTGGCATTGTGGGTTTGAAACAGCCGCCTAGCCCGTGGGGCCCGGTGTCGCCCCCTCGCCCCACACCGGCTGCCATGGTTCTAGAGCCCGGGGGGGGGGGCTGGGCTTGTGGGTCAAAAACCGCCGGGGCCGGTCCGCGGAGAGGTCTTTAACTGACATTTTGCGTGATCAACACCGCGGTCAGGGGACACAGGTCATCAGACCGGTTGGCGTGCGGCCGACGGCCCCGGTGGTCCGACGCGCGGTCTCCTCGGCGATGGCCACACACCGCGATCCGACGGTTGCCGTCAGCCGGAGTGTCCCCCTCTCCCAGTGTCTCCCTCCATGTGGCGGGGGGCCTCCCACTTTGCCTCCTCTAGTTTTGATGTTTTTTCTCCCCCCTGTTCTCCTTTGTCCTTTCTTTGGTTCCCTTGGGCCCCCCCCCCCTTCTCGGGCGCCCCCCCCCCCCCCCCCCCCACTGAAGGGCACCCGAGACAGCCAACCAGGAGGCTGCCGAGATGTGTCTCCATCCTTCCCCTGGTCTCCTGCCTCCCCCTTACACAAACACAACACACGCGCGCACACCTTCCGCACCGACTCCCGTACCTCCCTCCCCCTCCCCCTCCCCCTCCCCCCACCCACCCACCCACCCACCCTTTTCTTCCTCCCTCCTGTGTTCCTGACGTTGACCTTCTTCCTTTTGCCCTTCCCCCGCCTTCCTGCAAGCCAGCATGTCCGTCCTCCCTTGCCTCCTTCCCAAGGCCCTCCCCCATCAGGTGGAGGTCCTCTACTGTGGCCGTACGTTGGCCATGATTAGGCGGAGAGATGACTTTCTTGCCCTGCCCCCCTCCTCCAATTCCCCTGATCTCCGCCTGACGCCCACTCCTCTCCCATGGAACTTTGGCGATCTCCCTCGGCCATAGTGTGCAGCTATCCTCGCGAGTATTGCGAGATCTTCCCCGCGGCCAAGAAGTGCGCCGTCTGGTGGCAGAAGGCCCACCCGGAGCTCTTTGCCGAGGCCGAGACCGTGGAGTCGGCTCCGGCGGACAGCGCCGCTCCCTCGGGCGACGCCCCTGCCGACGGTGCCTCCGCTCCGCCGGCCACCATCAACCCCACCAAGCTGGCAGCTGCTGCCCGCAAGGCTGACGCCGCCAAGAAGGCCGTACGTTCCGGCATTTCCCCCGTCCGCCCGGACATTGCTCCGCCGGGCTTTGGGCCCGAAAGCAGAGCCTCCCCCTTCTCACCCTCAAGAAATGTGTCTCCCCACGCAGAACATGGTCATCATCAGCAATGCCTCGCGCCGTGGGCGTAAGGCCGTCACTTCGGTCCGTGGTCTGGACAAGCACGGTGCGACAAGTGTCCTCTTCCTCGGGCCCTCTCATCCTCCTCTTCTTCCCCTGCTGCCTCCTCCCTTCCCTCTTCTCCTTCCTTCCAGTCCCCACTCACTCCAACGCCCATTTGCTCTGATGCCGGGGCCTGGAAATGCCGCCCACATCAATCCGACGCAGGAATCGACCTCAAGAAGACTGCCAAGTCCTTCTCGGGGAAGTTCGCCTCCTCCAGCAGCGTGAGCAAGAACAACACCGGCCAGAACGAGGTCATCGTTCAGGGCGACATCTGCCGTGAGGTGCTCCAGTACCTGAAGGAACTCTATCCCGAGGTGCGTGTGGTCACTGGCCTGCGCGTGTGGGCCCCAGCATACGCGCAGGTAGACACACATCCGCCACACATGCACCCTCGCACACTACTGACACCACTCTGCCCTCTTCCCCTCTCC